TATATATATAAGCGTAATTTTATTATTGACATCCTATTGAACCCCAATTTTAACTAAATACTCAATTTTAGTCTTTTGCCCCTAAACTTTTTCATAATTACCATATTACCCTTGAAACCCTAAAATCCTCAAAATTTCCCAAACCACCCAACTTTGTCCAAAAACCAACCCAAACTCTTTTAAACCATCCTAACTACCCCAAACACCCTAAAATTTTCAAAATTACCAAAATACCCCCTAGTTTGCTAGAATTACCAAAATGCCCTTGGTGCCCAAATTTTCAAAAAACCTCCAAAATCATTTCAAACACCTCCAAAACCAATCTAGAAAACTCATGAAGCCCAATTTGACCAATTTAGGCTAAAATCACAATTTAAGACTCAATTACTCCAATTCACCTCTAATTCCTGCCAAATTCATCCCAAATTTCCCCAATTTCAATTCTAAACTCAAATTCATCATATATATATGTGCCACATTCTTTTTCTAGTGTGCTGCATTCCTTGTCCAGTTGGTAGGCAGGGTCACCGTAAGTCCCCTCTGGCAACGGTTCGATCCCTACCGTGGTGCGTGGGGGATCGAATTATAGGCACATGTGGTGCGTGGGGGGTCGAATTATAGGCACATGACACGAGCTCTCATCATGGAGCTGGATTGCGCAGGGGCTCGATATTTGGGCCTCTACCAAATATCGATTTCCTTTAAAAAAAAATGTATGTATGTATGGTGGGTGGGTGTATTGATATATAAATTTTAATTTTGATTCTTCTTTTTTTAAAAAAAATATTTTTTTTACAACAATTCTACTCACCAATAAATTTTGATTCATCCTTTTTTTTGTTAATATTATTTTTACACCAACTCTACTCGTATTTCATTATTTGTTAACATTATATTTCTATGAATTCTTCAGGAACATGCCGTACATCTCTCCATCCTAATTGTGCTAGGACTGCTAAACATCAAATGGAGATCTGGGGAAAGTTTGGTCTTGATAATGTGTGTCTTTCTTAGCTCCTCTCTAGTTCTTGTTTAACTTTTATTAATATTTATGTCTTTGCTTTGAAAATTTGTGCAGGTTGAGCTGCGAGTTTTCTGTTCAAAGCACTCCTCCCCTGTTGAAAATAATGATAGCATTTCGAGCACAGAGCATCCTAGTACAATGAGTGAAGATAACATGGTTGGAAAGCTTTTGCCTACTTGCGGACCTATGAAAAGATTGCCCAAGATAAAAATTACCCGTAAGGGTAAAAATAACAACATAGTGCTAGATGAAAAAGTTAATTCTATTTCCCATGAGGCGGTGAAAACTGATTCAAACTTTGATAAAAAAAATTTGGCGGTTAAGCTAAGACCAGGTGGTGGAGTTGCAGAGTCAAATAAAATTGAAGACTTTGTGGCTTCTGATAATGGGATTGTTCCTCAAAATACAGCTGATGACACCACAATTTTCAAAAAGGTAAAATTTAAAATCAATACAGTGATTATGTTCTTATGTCACCCTAATTACTATTCCGAAGTTTTGATAGGGTTTTTTATTTTACGCTTTTATTTTATCTGTTCAGATTATTGATCATAGGAAAATGAATTTTGCTAATGTTGCATTAGTGCTAGATGTGTTGTTAGCTTTCTTGGAATCACCTATATGTTGGTATTTACTTATGAATTTGTTTAACTGCTTGACTTTATTTTTTGGAATGTTTTAACCGAACATTTCAAGTGATGTTACAGGAACAGTGCATATCCATTCATTCTGACCTGAAGTTGAAATTAATGTTAATCGCTTCATAATTTTGTGGACTTGTGACATTTTTCGTGCAATTTGAAAAGTAGAAATAGCTGTATACTATCATCTGATGGTTTAGTTGCTAGATTCGGTGGTCCAAGTGCTTCTTGTTTACATGACACAATGTAACGTGGGTGCGGTAGTTTTCCACACTGATGCGGGAAACGAAAACTAGCTGTTTGAACCGGCTGGGATAAGGGACGGTATAGGGGACCCGGTCCAGATGCCAAAGTGTCGAGCGGCATTTGGGGAAGACAACATTGCTGCATGCTCTTTTCTCTTCTTACCTTTCTCGTGGTCTTTCTTTCCTTGTTTCCCACCTAGCTAGGTCTATTTATATGCTTGTTTTTTGAGTTTAGAGTTAATTTTAATGTGTTTGCTTTTCATATTTCTTACGCGGAGTCTTCTTCTTTTTGTAGGGCTGTATCAGAGAGGGTAGTGGTGCTTATGCTGTATCCTACTTCGAGCTGGTGACATATTTTACCCTTTTTTTCCCTTAACCAGTCTCTTCCACTCCCCTTAGCCATTAACTCCTCCAAGCCTTCCCTAACCGCCTTTGGCCCACTTTCCAGCCATCCAACCTGTTGTCCAAACCCTTTAAGTCTGCTGTACAGCCCCGCAACTTGCTGTCTAGTCGCCGTTACCTGCTGTCCAGACTCCCGTTACTTGCTGTTTGGCTTTTCCGCCATCCCCCCACACTTCCTCAGCCTTCCAAACTACCCTACAACCCTCAACCCCTCCCCCTTTCCTCCTTGTCACCTTGCCGACATCACCACCACCCTCGGATCTTCTCTTTCGGCTCTAATCGGGGGTCAGATTGTTATAGTATTCCCCTTTCCCGTTTGTGTCGTGTTGTAGCCCTATTTCGAAATTAATAAAAGTTTGCTTTCGTGTTTTCACTGATTTCCATTCCACCTAGTTCGAGTATCATTTGGTATTAAAGCTAGCTCAACCCTAGTCTATCCTAGGGTTTGCTAGCATCCACTATAAACCAAACTTTTTCTTTCCTATTCCTTATTCCCTTAGCCATGCCACCAAGGAGATATATGCCCGAGCCTACCTGGGAAAAAATAAGACGGAAGCTCTATCGCCTTCAACAAAGGCTTGCAGAGATTGAAGAATTAACACAAGAAGTTCTACCGAGATCTGCAGAGTCGAAGAGGAGAAAGAAATGAATATATAAATCTATTCCATAAGGATAATGTCAGAGATGAGAAGATAAACCACGACATTTCAAAATTCAATACTAGAGGAGGTCTAGAGAGGTATGTCTGAATCCCCCTCCAAAGGAGAGTCACAGAGAGGAGATATCATTTGGAGGGCACAGGGACTTCGACATCAAGTTCGACCTACCAGAGTTCGAAGGACGTATGGATCCTAAGGATTTCATTGATTGGTTATAACTTGTTCAGTGAATTTTCGAGTATAAAGATGTGCTAGAGGATAGGTGAGTCAAATTAGCGGCCATCAAGCTAAAGAAGAATGCTTTTTTGTGGTGGGAGAACTTACAAAGATGGAGAAAAATGGAAGACAACGATAAGATTATCAGGTGGGAGAAGATGAAAAAGGCGATACAGAGGAAATACCTCCAACCCCATTAATGCCAGAATATGTTTCCAAGACTCCACCATTCGCAATAGAGGATCTATCAGTAAAGGAGTTCATGAAGGAGTTTGATCAATTGTAAATGAAGTGTGATATGGTCGAACCAGAGGAGCATACCATAGTCTGTTATCGGGGGGTTTGAAGCTAGCTATCAACGATGTTAAATAACTGCAGTGTTATTCTTCACTTGGAGATGTTCAGGCATTAGTCCTGAAGGTGGAGAGACAACAGAAGCAGAACAGAAAACAGTTAATCTTCAGGCAACAATTTCCATACAAGTAGTCTCTTACAACCCACAAAAGTACTTTGGGAGACATAAGCAAGCCCCAAGAAAGGGAGTGACACTTCGAATTAAGCGAGAAGAAGCAGAAGAAATGTAGCTCCTCCAACACTGTAACAACTAGGAAGTGTTACCGTTGCCACGACTACGACCACATAGCCTCCAGTGTCCCATTAGCAGGATAATGAACAGATCAGGATGCCGTGGAAGAGATTAGCGATGAGGAGAAAGCTGATGAATAGGGTGAGGTGCATTAGTTTCCACCATATGAGGGAGAAGCACTTGTGATTCGATGGATTTTGTAGATCGAGGACACGGGGGATTCACAGTGGTTGCGTCACAACATTTTCTACACCTTTTGAGCAGTGAATAGATATATGCAGTCTTAGCATCGACAGCGGGAGCAGTATGAATGTGGTATCTACTCAGATTGTAGAGAAATTGCGACTCACGACTCAGAGACACTTCCTTTCATACTCACTAACATGACTGAAGGAGAATTAAATCGGCATCAACCAGAGATGTTTGGTAGAGTTCTCTATCGGAGGCCAGCTGCAGGACCAGGTGCAGTGTGACGTGGTTCCTATGTATGTCTCCACTACCTATTGGGACGATTGTGGCAGTTTGACTGGAGGACTCAACATGATAGATTCAAAAACACATAGTCATCTATCAAGGAGGGTAACGCATCATTCTACTCCCTTCAACAGAGCCCGAGATCAATGAAACTTTTACTAGCAGAGCGGTGTTAGTGGGTTCAGTTCTATTGGCGACACAAAATGAAAGGACTGAGAAACCAGCTTCAGAGAAGGGATAGTTGCGCCAAAGAGAATGTCAAGATCTCTCAGCCGACGCCATATCACCAGCTCTACCACGAGACGAGAAGATTCAGGCTGCAGTTGCGGCACATCAGACTGGCTCGACTATGGGTTAGCTTGGGAGGATCTAGCAGTTGTGGCATGGACCACACTCAAGTTCACAGATCGATAGGACATGGGCGCGCAAGTGGTGCCAATTTCATTGATGCTCTGGCCGATAGTGCTGTTGATAGTGGGACCTAGGTGCCTCCAAGATTAGAGAGAAGGAACCAAAAGCTTCGATGAATGAGGTTGAAGCTCTCCCAACCCTGAGAGACCGACGTTAGTGCGATAGTTTCCTGCACAGATGAGGGAAACAAAGCCAACCTGTTGAACTGGCTGGCATAGGGGACTATCTAGGGGACCGAACGTCTGAAGTGACGAGCGTAATCAAGCGACCCATGTGACTTTCCTTTCTTGTCTCCCGCCCGGATTGAGCGTAATTTGGGGAAGGCAGCATTGCCGCTTGCCCTTTTCTCCTCCTTCCTTTCTCGTCGTCTTTCCTTTCTTGTTTCTTACCTATTTAGGTCTGTATTTATATGCTTGTTTTCTAAGTTTAGAGTTAGTTTTGATGTACTTGCTCCTTTCCTGTTTTCCACGTAGTTAGGTCTATTTATATGCTTGTTTTCTAAGTTTATAGTTAGTTTTGATGTGTTTGCTTTTCAGATTTTTTATGTGGGGTCTTCTTCCCTTTTCTATGGCTGTATCCGAGGAGGTTGTGATGCTATGGCTGCATCCTACTCTGAGGTGGTGGCATATCTTCCCCTTTTATCTTCCCTAACTTGTCTCTTCCACTCCCCTTAGCCACTGATCACTTCTAGCCTTCCCCAGTTGCCTTCACCCACTTTCCAGCCATCCAACTGGCTGTCCAAACCCTCCAAGCCTGCCATGCAGCCTCGCAACCTGCTGTCCAATCGCAGATCTGTTGTCCAGACTACCGTTACCTGCTGTCCAATCTTTTTGCCATCCATCCACACTTTCTTAGCCTTCCAAACTAGTCTACAACCCTCAACCCTTTCCCTCTTGTCACCTTGCCGACACCATCATCACCCTCGGATCTTCTTCTCCGGTCATAATCAGGGTTGGATTGTTATTGTATTTTTTTTCCCGTTTGTATGTAACCCTATTTCTAAATTAGCAAAAGTTTGTTTTCGTGTTTCCGCTGAATTTTATCTAGTTCCGGTATCATAATGGACTGAGATACAATCAAGTTTCTAGACGTTTTAGATCCTCACAGCCATCATGTATGAGAAATGTTGATATGCATATAACCGTGGACCACATGGGCCTCACCCACAATTTAGGAAACCGTTGGTCCGCTGCTACATTTGAGGGGGAGAAATTATTCTCCTCTAATCATCCATTATTGCGTTTTTTTCTTTCCTTCTTTTCACAATAATTTAAATTCCCTATAATTTTATGAGGTTTGGTATGAGTTGTATATATATTCATTATTTGGCGTCAATTTTGGTTGGATCTTCCCTCTCTAGTGGAAATCCTGTGCCGATGACAGATAGTTTCTCTAGTGGAAATTATGCCGACAACAAACTATTTCTCTCTTAGGGGAAAATTCTGTGTCATTTGTAGTTCATTTATCTCTCTAGTGCAAATTCTATGCCGACAACAGACAGTCCACCTCTCCGAAAGAAATTTGGAGTCTGCTATTAGACAGTTTCTCCCTGATGAAACTTTATGTCGACAACTTATCATGAAAGCTATTTCTTTTTCTTCAAAATTTACTTTGGAACTTGAACATATGATATTTGGCTTTGCAGCATTTGAAATCTTTTCCAAAATCAACAATTACAACAGGCATTCCACCTCTCCGGAAGAAATTTGGAATCTGCCATTAGATAGTTTCTCCCTGATGAAACTTTCTGTCGATACCTTATCATGAAAGCTATTTCTCTCTCTTCAAAATTTACTTTTGA